GCATAAGCATGTGGGGATGTGTGGTCGCGTCGTCGCAGAAGCGCCCATGACGTGATTCCATTTGGCAAACTGCCAAAGCATGAACAGACGGCGCCTCCTCCATCGATTGCTCGAGGGCCCCCGCCATCGTCGCAGTCGCAGTAAGACGGGAGCAGCTTGGTGGGCAGTGTAAGGCCGTCGTCATTGCCAAGTAGAAACTCGGGTGGTCGTGGATGTCCATCAAGCGCACCAAAGTGGTGCAAAGTCAGTGTTACAATTACCAAGGTCGGATGGTTGGGCGCATATCATCAGAAACAGTTCTGCCCAAGTCATAAGCAGTTCGGAATCGCATAAAACAAACCACCATAAAGCGACGCGAATTTTTCGATACTCCCGAGGAGGAGCATGTGATTTCAGGGCTGTTTTACACAGAACAATAGGAGGTTTCGTTTACATTTTTTCATAAGAAAGATCCCACACAAAATGCGTACCTAAACAAGTAACAATAGTACAGTAATAACAGAGCTGAAACAAGTCTATTAGTTCTTCCCGGCGTCTTCTTTCAGGGGAACGGTGCGGTTAAAGATGAGCTGAAATAGTTATAAATAAGAGGCGTCTTTTATTGGAAGTTTATTCAGGTTTTGTCGTTATTGTCATTGCATTCATATCTTGAGGTACTACCTGGAGTAAGAAGTTGCAAAGGAAGTGAATTCGATATACTTGTGGTGGACTTTTTTCTACTCAAAATGATTCCTCTGTGCCAATCTCGTATTTCTCACCAAAACCAAGAAAAGAAACGAACCCAGAGGAGAGCGTTCCACCCGTCTCCAGTTGCCCGCAGAGACTCATTTTGTAAGCTTACTAGAAAATTGAAGAGTGCGTTAGACTCCCTTTTAGGCAAGGCTGGTTAGGCTCATACCGGAAACCCCAGCCCACTACAGTAGACGAAAAACGCAAGTTTTAAGCGTGGTTACAACTAGAAGATCTCTATAATTTGATTCACCGGAATCTAGATAATGTTCATGCTCGTGAAGTATGATATAGGTCAAGGAAATCGCGAAGTGAAATGAAGTCCGCACTGTCGATCACCCGGCCCCCTGCTCCTGTTCTTGAACAAGCACCTCCAGTGCAACGGAAGAAGAATGCACGCGCACTGAGTCATGACGGTCGAAAAACGCGAAAGGAATGCGGCCGTCCAGAACCACTTCGCTAGACAGCGAGAAATAACTATGATGGCCTGTTTGCGTTTGCTTGATTCACTAGCAAGTAGAGTCGCTCGTTTCATCACAGCATAGTGATTAGACCTAATTATAGGGCTGTCACAGGTTGGGCAAAGGCAACAGACAACAGTTGTTACTTGGCAAATGTGCCGCAAAATCAGCGAAACGAAGCACAAGCCGACGAAGTGCTCACAGAGAACGATGCCAGTCAAGATGGGTGCTTGGGATGCTTGTTGGCCTCAAACCTCTGCCTTTGCGTCCATTACGACTAACCAGCTTGCGATGGTTCGTTGTTAGTTCAGCGAATGAAATGAGTGTTTCAGCTATGTTGGGAAGAGTTGAGTTGAACCCGTTCGATGTTCGCTATTGAAACTGAACATGGATTAGTGTCGAAAAAGGGTTTGCTGATAATCTTTGGAACATCTCACGTGGGTGCACACTTATTGCTGAAAAAAATGAACAACGCTATTGTCGACCGCTTTCCGCTATTCAGTCTACACAGCTATGGGGAACACATGACTCAGATCATGACACCACTCGTGATGCACGGCGTTGTCTGCAAACAGACATTTTCGTAGATTAATGTGTGGGCGAATGTCCTCGTTGAGTTCTGAGTCACCTTTCCTGTTCAGCAGGTTGTTGAGAACATCAGCATCAAACGTATACCATATAGCTGCTCCCCAAGATGTTCATCAGTTTTTGTGCGGACGCAACGACCATAATCACGAACTTTGTTAAACATGAGAGATAGAGGTGTGGGAAGTTGATCGGAACAAAATGCCATTCATAACGCTGTTGATGAACAGAAGTATGAACGACGCTATTTACGTGTACACAGGTGCATATGCGGCACGTACCACCAAAAAAAA